AATGAAATCTACAAGAAATCTTAAAAAATCTGTCGCTTGAGATATTTAGCAAAGATTACAAAGAAATATTTAGAAATTATTCTATGCTACTAGGGAAGTGGAACTAGGCTCTAGGAACTAGGGAAGTGGCACTAGGTAAAATCCATCATTGCCTGAGGCATATTTTAACGTTTTGCCAGATTATTGACAGTAACACCCTTTGTGCCCGTTCTTTTTGAAAATTATTCAAGCCTTCTCCGACCAGATGTGATAAACTAATAGAACATCCTGCAAGTAATGTTTAATAATACAATCTGTTAATTTCTGTATGGAATTCACTTTATTCGGAAAAAAATCAAGGATATATTTAAAAGTTTAATAAATGAAAATACATGCCTACACTAAAAGCAAAAATACTCTTCAACGTGAAATAATCCATTTCAGGACCTGGTAACCCTTGGCTTGTGTTTGCCGGCATCTTGTACACCAAATGAACTTGACGTTATCCTGAAGAGACTTTTTCATCAGAGGACCCTTATCGTCGGCGAATTATATAGTGCAGATTTCAAGTTAATCGAGATTAGAGACTTGAAGGACGACCATCCATGGTGGAGTGATGCTGTTATGATAGTGGTTGGGTTAGTAACGTTAACATAATCGCGTTGACGAATTGGCCAGGACTGTCCTAGAAAAACTAATCGTCGATGTATAGCGATTTATACATATAAACTTTAGAATATCTCTCTTACAGATCTATAATTGCGCTGTTATGTATCTTAATGATCCTTGGAACGATCTACGACCTATTTGTTTACCAAAGGCACTTGAAGTACAAAAGGAAGATGCAAAATTGCGAAAACAATAATACATCCGAACGAAATGGTAATGATATACGACATATTTGTTCCACTGCCGATTCGGATATTGATTTTGTTGCAAACTAAAGAATATTAAAGTTTCGCGTGATAAGATATGATATAATATTAGAACTCTGTGCAGATAATGTAGACTATAAACCTTTTTTTATACTGGAAAATGAAACGTGATATTTTTTAGTGATCAATGATATCGTAAGTAGGTCCAGCATCTTTTACATCCGATCTCAGGATTTATAAAAAAAAAAAAAGTGTACAATATAATTAAATCGGTGCGTGGTAATTAATAAGTCGACACTTTCAAATGATAGAGCGATGTACGTAAATAGTTACGTACCAAAGAAATATAGTGAACATCTGTAATGAGAAAGAAAAACTCGATTAAAGAAATGAGAATCCTCTATCACTAGTCCTAAGGTTAATATCAATTATTTCGCAGGAACAAGCTTCAAATCAAATTTGGAGAATCAGCAGTCCACGGTATTGACTGCACATCAGCAAAGTGTTTTCGGAAAAATATTAATGTGCTTCTCGATTTACACGAACACGAAAATCATATTCGATACGAAACTGGGACCCGAATCCGTTCCACCCATCCATGGTTTGAGATTCATTAGCATGATTTGGATCATTATGGTCCACACGATTTTTTACATGAGTGACTACGCAGGTACGTACCTCATCGTTATCAAATGTTATTCAAAAATGGTTAACTGTCTGTGAATGTTTGCACTTTCAGATAATAAACCATGGTCCTGGAGGATGGCAGAAGGTTTTGCAGTACAAGTGATAAGTAATTCGACCGTATCAGTCGATACTTTCTTTTTCTTAAGTGGGTTTTTAGTAGCTCATTTATACTTCACCGGCAAAAGAGGGAAAGAAGATAGCAAGCCCTACAATTACCGAACCAAATTCAACGAGTTTCTTGTCACCGTTCTGAGGAGATATCTTCGGTAAATGAACGGACTGAAGAGGCAAAAATTCAATGCATAATTTATAAATTAATAGTGTATAGTGATATTGTTTTTANAATTTTCGCATAAATATCTATAAAAAAAAATATTTCCAGCAATATACATTATTTCTGTTACAAACAGTGCCTACGTATCTCTCTCTATAAATATGTCACAAGTTCATATGTCAAAGTTCGCTACTTATCGATAAGTCCTTTCAATTACACATTAATTTAACTACCTTAATATCAATTTCAAGATTAACTCCAGCGTACATGATGATGGTGGGAATTCTGCAGATCAACTCCACCTGGTACGGTGAGGTGTCGCAATTTTACATGACTGAGCGGCCACAGGATGTCTGTGCGAAATACTGGTGGAGAAACATATTATACATCAATAATCTCTTTGGCAGAGACACAATGGTATGGTTTTCAATGAGTATAACAAATCGAGCAATTGATAGAACGACATGCACCCACATTATCCCACTTATTGCAGTGCATGTCCTGGAGCTGGTACCTCTCAAACGACATGCAGTTTTTTATCATCGCCTCTTTCTTGTTGATCCTTTCGTCAATGTAAGTTGTTCTAGCATTAAATCGATCTCTATCGCATTTTCGAGACCATCGAATAATAATACTACCGTCAATCATAAAATTACAAAAAAAGGTACTCCTTAGATTATTAATGATTTACATTCATATCTATATTTTAGGTACTTTCATGTTGCCGTTGGAATTTTGGGCTTCCTACTGACCAGCTCGACCCTTATCACGGGATATTTATCATATACTTACGAATACGTGCCCACGTAAGACTTTATTATGAGCATCTCGTGTATGACGTACCTTTATTGTTTTATGGAATAAAATAATGTTATTCCGCCCTGCAGAATGGACGAGCAATACAACATGCTGGATGTGTTGTATGATCCACCGTGGACAAGAATAGGACCTTACATTGTAGGGATGTGCACTGCATACATTTTAATTCGCCTGAATAATCAACTGGTCCTACGTAAGGTACAAGACAATGAATGTAGATATGTCCCATTGAAAAGAGAATAATTTTAAAAATTCATTTGGTAATTTTTTTAATTTCTAATAATTAAAAAAATCTCCTCGGTAGTTCTTCTTCAAAGACGAAAAGAAAATGTTGGTCTGAAAATTACGCGTTTATGTAAAAGTTCTTGAGAGGTATGATGGTGAAATGAAAGTGGCACTCGAGAGGTCAGTTATGAAACATTTCTTCGAATTGGCTGTACCGAGTTCTTTGAAATTCTGCCACATGAATATGGAGGTCCTAATAAATCTCTGGACACCGTAAAATTTGATTTTTTAACGAAACCTTAAGAAATGTTTGTAAACCAACTGAAATAATAATGAAAGTTCACGGGATGGGAAAACCTCCAATTCATGTGGAAACATTTCAAACGATTCGGAACACTTAATTCGAGAAAAGTTTCATAAACGAGACCCCTTAGATACAATTTCTGACCACGTTCAAACTTTTAAAATAATTTTGAAGTCGAATATGAATATCCTGATGTACGAACTTTGACCAATTTAGCACAATCTCTTTTAACTTACCGAATTACATGTGACATTCTCTTATATCGAAATGCGATTATAATTCTGTACATGTAACTTGTAAACTCAACGCTTGCAGATGTTTATTTTCATAGAGAATTTATCTCGGAAAACGTATTTCCAGAGGTGTAAGAATATGAACTCATGGAAGGGGGATTTATTATTCCATTTGGCGGCGGTTATGGAAATGACGATAGTAACCTTGGTGACATATTTTTCAGAGAACCTTGGTACTTTGTTGGTGCATAGGAAGTTCTTGCAACGTGTTGGTGCTTTTCGGCCTGTGGGAGAGATATCTACCCATTTTACCTGCCGCGTTTTACGTTGCTCTTGGTAGAACCGTTTGGGCCATTGGACTTGGTTGGTTGCTCATTGCTTGTTGTACAAATCACGGAGGTAATTGATGCATCAATAGTCGATTACCATAAAAATTGATCGAAAAGTTTTACAAATTTAAAAGGAATACTTATACTCGGTATCCGTTTGACTGGGCAGTAAAGAAAAACAATCTAGAATAAATATAAATGAACAGGATTGCTTAAAATTCCAACAATAATTAAGTACTTACTCGAAAGATAGAATTACATCATTACATACACGGGTTTTGTATACACTACCCTAGTAGCACAGAATATTTGTCTTATATTTTCTATATATTTAACCAATATCGTACATTTTGCAAATGTTTAGCAGACATTTGAAATATTTGCAAAACGTTTACTTTAGAATATTTTCCCTATAATATTTATATAATATTAGCTCCGTGTGT